CCCATCGAAGTTGACGATTTTTATGCAGTGTTGTGTTACACCAAGATTTTTGTCGATACTTTTTGCCGGTGAGTGTATTTCCTCATCCGGCTAAATTTCTTGACATAGTACGACATTAAATAGACGCTTGCATTAGAATAGTGTTTAAAACAAACGTACTTGCTTTTTTCGTGATATAAATTCTGGTTAAGATCAGACGCCGGTGTAGTCTCAGTTACTATTGAGATACAAAACGTACTCTCTGGCCGCGCGTTCTTCAGGTTATACTCGCCCTTAACTTCGAAGCCATCTTTCGTAACAAGAATTATTATTTATTTCTTTGCGCAAGTTTAGTAGTTTAATTTCCCAGCCGATAGGCTATTATTAGTTAATCCCGCTAATAGAAATCGACGTAGATCTCGAGGATAAATAATAATTCAGTTAATAGAGTTCCAGTATTCGGTTCCAAATCGCTGGTATGCAACATCATTTACTTTTCAAAAAAAATAACGCTTTCTATTAGGTGGAACACTCCAATGAATCGAATTATGGAAGTTGAGGGTAAGCACATTGTTTACAGAACGTAGTGCGTCGAGATACAAGCTCGGGTATTAATAGAACATCGATCTAGGCGTATTCTTAATGAAAAGTATATTGTTTGGCAAATCTTTGTGGTCTGATATACAGTTTCGCATAATATAAATGAAATAGCAAAATAACATATTGATGACATTTATACAAATCTGTTCTACGCAAAAGATTGAATGCCATCCGACCGTCATTATTTCGACATGAGTGTATTGCTGCTGCTAATTTAAACTGTTGTTAATAGTAGCGAATTTAGATTTGGAACCTTCCTCAGTACATGTATTACGTAGAATGAATATCAAAATATCAGTAGCGTGTATGTGAGGATAAAACGTCACTATCTCTTCAAAGTATGCAAATCGCTGTAACAGGTAATCGGGTGATGTCTTGTATACATTGTTATCAGTAATCTTCTCAATAAAAAAAGGTAAAAAACCTAATTCTCAAGCTTCACCCATTACATAAATCTCCGTCTCTAGTTACAAGTTTCACTGAACTGAACAGTGACCCAAATCAATACATACATCCACCATCATTGCTTAACGTAAAGCTTATGCCGTTGATTGTCCACCTGGACGGTCCAACCACATCAACACTGATAATAGTCATAATATTGCCGATTGCTCCTCGTCTTCCTCGTAATCCAACCTTATTCCACCATGATCTTTCATCTTCATCTTTTTCCATTGTCCTCAATTCGATCCACGCTCTCGTATTCTACTCTTCTTTCCAACGCCTTCCCAGTCCTCAACGACCACCTTCTCGGCGGCAAAAAAACTGCTTAAATGACTCTGTCTCCGTACGATCCTCAAATTCTGCTCTGCCAATGTCTTTATATGCGCGGGATCAGACTCGTTTTTTGCTTCCTTAAATGCATCTCTGGTACAACGCTTTACATAGTCACGAAAATTATAATTGGAGAAGCTGTTGCCGGCTTTGAGAAGGGAGCGGTAAGGTGAAGGATGTGTGTGCGGTTTAAAGGAGTCGTGGGCATGAATTAAAACAGAAAAGGGGGAGGACGTGTAAATGTGGGAATCGTCATCAAACTAAGGTAAAACTTTGCTTGTTGGAGGGAGTGTTTTAAGGTTACCAAATACAATTTCTACTATAATGTTATGAAAGCGCGTTATGGAGACAAAGTCGAGTCCCAGGATGTATACCTACAGTAGCTGAATATTTCGATTTTAGCAAATATCCACCCAATCACGAGTTGGTTAAAAATCTATCGAATGGAGGTGGAAGAAGAATAAGAAAGTTCTAGGCACGTTCACGGTATCTGTGCGTATTGGGCATATCTTTATGAGCATAGCTTTCTTCAAAAGCCTTAGTATTAGGGATTTGAATCAGCAGAAGAAAAAAGCTTTGAATGAGACTTCCCCATGTTTGTGACACTACCGATATCTAACTCTCCACAGTATTATAAGATATCTTGTCGAGCAACGACAAATTCATTTTCACTTGTCTGTAGTAAACGCTCCATATACATAACCCCTCGAATATTTGTCAATCTCTAATATATTAATATATGCATTCAGTCAGTTTTCATCGATCGGAACATAACTTTTCGTGATATGACGGGACTATCCGCAATAACCGGTAAGAACTTCTCACATATTTTCCTCACAAACATGCGAGACAACTTATTTGCAAGACAATAATATTCGTCTTCCCTGATTTAGTTCACCTGTGAAAGGCTATTGGTGTTTAAACGTTATTTTATATGATCATACAAACATAACAATAAACAACAAACTTCTTTAACTACGCTGATTTGATTGATCAACCTGTCGTTACACTACATTTCGGATGCTTGCATATTTTCCCCTTGTATTAGTATATTAATATTAATATGTACTTGCGAAATTGGACTTCTCTGAACTGACATATCAATGTACTAACGTACATCGTCTTATATTTTAATAACACTGATTTTCGATATTCATACTACTGGTGTGTTTATACTGCTTATACGAAATGGAAAAAGGGGTACGAGATGCCAGTGCTCAATATATTCTCGCTTTATGTTATGAAAATGGAATTGGAGTAGAGAAGGATGAACAAAAAGCAGTTGAATGGTATGCAAAAGCAGCTGAACAAGGACATGCCAATGCTCAATTTAACCTTGGTGGGTGTTATGCCAATGGAATTGGAGTAGAAAAGGATGAACAAAAAGCAGTTGAATGGTATGCAAAAGCAGCTGAACAAGGAGATGCCAGTGCTCAATTTAATCTTGGTGGGTGTTATGCCAATGGAATTGGAGTAGAAAAGGATGAACAAAAAGCAGTTGAATGGTATGAAAAAGCAGCTGAACAAGGACATGGCAATGCTATATATAATCTTGGTGTGTGTTATGCCAATGGAATTGGAGTAGAGAAGGATGAACAAAAAGCAGTTGAATGGTATGCAAAAGCAGTTGAACAAGGACATGCCAATGCTCAATATAATCTTGCTTTATGTTATGAAAATGGAACTGGAGTAGAAAAGGATGAACAAAAAGCAGTTGAATGGTATAAAAAAGCAGCTGAACAAGGATATGCCAGTGCTCAATATAATCTTGCTTTATGTTATGAAAATGGAACTGGAGTAGAAAAGGATGAACAAAAAGCAGCTGAGTTATATCACAGTGCAGTAAAACAAGCACATATGTCAATACAAGTTGAAAATAGTAGGCATTATAGTAGAATGACAGGTATTAGATCGGGCATTAATGATGTAATTGACTTGTGTCAATTAGGAGCTAAAAAAGGAAATCCTTATGCACAATATATGCTTGGTCTGTATTATGAAAATGGTGTTGGAGTAGAAGCAAATATTAAAAAGGCACTTGAATTTTATGAAAGAGCAGCTGAACAAGAATATAGTAAAGCAAAAAGTAAGGTGTATACTTTTTATGAAAATGGGTCAGAAGTAAAGAAAAAAATAAGGGAGAAGATTGAATTGTATAAATATAAAGGTGATAACAAGTAGATATAGAGCAGTTGATATAAATTATATCCAATACAAGTTATAAAATTTCACTGCTATTCAAAAGAATAATTTGGAAAGATGTAATATTTATATTGAGTATTAGTTATTAAATTGATATTAGTATTAGTTAAGTAAACACTTTAATAATAAAATATATTAGTTACAATACGTTTCATACCAATATGGTAATGATATACTATACTAGCATTGTGTTTGGTCACATGAGAGGAGTGTCTTGAGATTTGTTGCTGATTAGAAAGTTATATTGCTCAAGTGGCTAGACTAAGCCAAAATAATCCAAGTTATGAAAGTCAATATAGTATTCTTTTCCCAATTTTTTTAATAAAAGGTTTGTAACGCGTTTTTATAGAGCTGTCTAAATTAATTAATTAGAAAAAGGCTGGCTGACTAGAAAATACCACAGCAATAAGCTTGGGCTCATATGCTCTTCGCAATGCTCTCATGTCTTTTCATGCGTCATTATAACCATTTTTATTTCTGTTGAGTGTTAATTGAACAGATACAGTATAAGTATGGCTGACATTTCCCAAATCACTATAATCTGTCAGCAGGATTTCCAGTTGAAATGGATAAAAAAAGAAGCAGTTCTATAAAATTGGATAACTTTACTTCCAATGGAAACTGCAGTTTATATTCATCAGTTATTTCGAGTTAGAATATCAATTTTTTTGACCAAATTTTGTTCAAAAACTTGCCGTTTGGGGAAATACAGTATTAGTATACCGGTCTATCATGCGCAAAGGATTATGATACCAATGATCTTATTAGAATGAATGACAAGTTCGATATTAATCGCTCATAACGAGACAATACGTTTAACATTTCGCCAGCGACGTGTCTTTTACCAGGAAACAACAAAATAAACAATTTGCTGCATATTTAACGTTTTATTAGAATATAAACGTCTCTTCCGGCAAGAATAATAGAATTAGGAATATTCGAATCGCAGCCAATCATCGGGCAGCCAATGATCGCTGCACTATAAAAATCCCAAACAAAAAAACTGGAATTGATGTAGAAAAAACCATTCTACACATTGCATAATCAATTGACGTTTCAAACTTTTCTTCTGAATGCGTCTACGATCTTGTTCTGTGGAATAAAGGTTCAATCACGTATTATCAATAACCACACTTTACACCCACCCATGCGAACCATTTCCTTATATCGTTCTTTGTAAAGACAGAGTTAGTGGTGAAGGTTTGCGCAGAAATAGTCAACGAGCTAATTACTGCACATGAGAACAATAAAGACAAGACATTAATCTCAATGGTTTAAAGACAAAGTACTCGAAGAGAAATAAATTAAAAAAATCAACCAAAAGTGGTTGATATAATAGCTGCCATACAAGAAGACACTATTGCCAAAGTTGAGCAAGTGGAGTAAGTTACGTTGCGATAAAATGATGTCTGATCGGAAAACTGATCTTTGCGCTAACAATATTGGCATTTAGATATCAGATCGCAGTGGTAGCAATGATGTGTAAACCGCACCGATGTCCGCATATTGCAATGACAGGCAACGTCTGTGTGTAAGTCAAAGTCTCTTATACGCGTAAAGATTTTTAAATGCTTTACCATTTATTAACAACTTGTTTCATGACGTCTGCGGTCATTGTATCTAGTTACTGTCCAGGTGGTTCCGATTCAGATTTTGAATATTCTACTCAATCCTACACTGGCTATGAGCCCACTAGTATGCGAGCTATCCGTGCACGCTATCATCCGTTAGAGCAGGCGCCAAAGGTCGAATCGATCAATTGAAAGATCGAATACATCATCATGGGTGGCACGTTTATGTCGTTGCCGGAGGATTACAAAAACCGCGAACTCGCATAACGCATTGCCGGCCACACAAAATGATGTTGATGAGTCTGTGAGGTAGGAGAATCTAGGAGAGGTCAGTCAGTACGAAAGAGACGAATTGTGAGATTGTGCAAGAATCAAGATCAAAAGCACTATAAATGTTTCTCTTGAAGCCGTTTAATATATTGACAAACTATTCTTCCTTTCTATTAGATTTTCAGAGCAGAGTCAGACAAAATGTATTGGAATTACTATTGAAACACGGCTTGATTACTGTCTCAAACTTTATTTGGGGTGAGTATTAATATGTGACCGTCTTTTTTCTTGTCTCAGATCAGTTCATAATATTTTTCTCTTTATAGCCAGATGCTCCGATATGGGTGTACTCGTCTAGAGATAGGCGTCCAGAGTATTTATGAAGATGTTGCACGTGATACCAACAGAGGACATACTGTCAAAGCTGTAACGGGATTATTTCAATAAGCAAAGATTCAGGATTTATAATGGTTGCTCACATGATGCCAGTTTTTACCAAATATCGGTATGGAAAGGGATTAGAGCAATTTAAGGTATTTGTCAGCAATGATTAAACATGATTAATGTTCAACCAAACCTTTCGTACTGATGTCTGAAAATTCAACTTTGGTTATTAGAGGTAAGGGCTTTACGAACG